GGCCCAGGGCTTTGCGCTGAAGCAGGTACAAGAAAGGCCTTTGCATTTGGCGCCTTCAGGGGCAGAAACAAACGATCGTATGCGACTGTTTCTTCATGAAAGCTAAATGCCATTTAATGTGCATTATATATAACCACTAATATATATTTAATTTTCGGAATAAGCCTGGGAGTTGGAAGGGAACAGCTGCTCGTGCTGTTGTCTGTTGTGCAGGGAGCTCAGGAGCAGAGAAGGCCTGATGGGGCAGCAGGAAGGGAACCCTGCCTTTGTTGTTGTCTTATTTCTAGTGTTTGTTTTAACTAGTGGAAAGTGCTAGGCAGGCCTGGTGGCCTATGCCTATAGTCCCAGCGCTGGAGAGGCTGAGGCAGGAGGATGGTCACAGGTCCAAGGCCAGCCTGAGCCACAAAGTAAGATCCTGTCTCTAAAGGACAGAGGGAGGGAGAAAGAGAGGGACAGAGAGAGGGAGGAAGAGAGAAGAAGAAGTAGGGAGGTGGGGAAAGTGCTGCTTGAAAAGAGATCTAGGTCAGAGCCCCACTCCCCATAGCTCCCCTGGCATCAGCCACTGCCTGGACCTGCATTCTACTGCAGTCTCCATGGTAACCCTGCAGACTGTTCACTGAGGTAGGACTGTCTCCTCCCAAACATGGGTCACAGAGCTGTCATCATGATGTGATCAGTTCAGCCCCTTAGCTTAGTTGATTAGTTGAAAGATAAATAGACCTGTGGTACTGCATAAAGCCCCTACCCCCAGTTACTCTTCTCTTGATGCTGGGACAAATACCCAACACCCAAAACTGAGGAAGGAAAGGTTTGCTGGCTCCAAGGCAGTGGCACGTGGCAGAGGGCAGCAGGAGCAAGGGCCGAAGCTTCAGTTCCAACAGCTAGCTAGCCCCTCTCCTGCCTTACATTGTAATGCAAATTACCTACCTCAGGGCAGGTGCAGAACCCACACCCACAGTAGTGTTTCAACTCCAGGAGCCACCCCAGGACTGCTTGAGGCTTTGGGGATATGCCTAGACACAAGCCATAACGCCCCCTTTTTTGCGTTCTGGGAATGGAACCAAGGCCCTTGTGCTTGCCAGGCAGGCCCTGTACCACTTGGCTGTCTCCTCGCCCCTACTTCTGATTCTTGCTTTCTTATTTTGAAGAATGGACTTCCGCTTTATCCATGGTGAGATGTTCTGTGTTCTCATTACCACGAGTTTACTCTTTGCTTTTTAAAAAGATGTTTTCATTGGCCATACTTGCAGCACACACATAGTGACTGTTCATCATGGGGGTTGATGCCCGCCCACCGCACGTTCAGTATTCTTTCCCTGCCCTGCCCCTCCATTCTTGTTTTTGTTAGGCATGGTTTAAGTTTCTAAGGTATACTGTATTTTCTTTCTGTATTTCTTGCTCTTTTACGTGTGTGTCTTTCTGAGGCAGGGTCTCCCTGCTCAGTCCAGGCTGCCTTGAGCTCACTTTGTAGCTAGGCTGGTCTCCAACTCTGGCTCTTTTTCTTAGAGCCAGCAATGAATATCCTAACTGTAGCATCCAAGGCTGCTTGTTTTTCTTCCACGTTGTGAGGTGAACTCAGTTCATGTTACTGAGATGCAGATTATGTCGTGAGCTGCACAGGATAGTTCATGGTTGTGACAGGGTCCTTTGCAGTCTCCTGTTCTTTATTTGCAGTGTCCACAAGTTGTTCAGCTCTGTCTTTCCTGAGATGTTTTACATTTTTTTCATCTTTATATCTTCAGGGCCTTTGTACTGAGCTGCATCCCTGCCTGTTTGTTTGCTTTCCATTTTGAGACAGAGCCTGCCCGAGTTGCCTGGAGTGGGCTCAACCTCGGGATCTTCTGTTTTGGCCTCCCAGAGTACTGGGATTATGGGCATGGACTGCCACACTGCTATACCTTGCAGTTTTGTGTCTTTTTTTTTTTTTTTCCCTGGGACAAGGTCTCACTGTGTAGTTTAAGCTTGCCTTGAACTTAATAGTTCTCCTGCTTCACCCTCCCAAATGCTGGGATTACAGGCATGAGCCACTATGTCCACCTTATATTTTATTATTATTATACTCCGAAATCTTTTCTCCTCCTCAGATAGTTGGATGACTTAATCACAGAGTTTATGATCTTTCTCCCTGCTCACTAGGAAGTGCTGTAAAAGCCCTGGGCCTCCCTGTGTGTTTCCCACAAATCCGGCAGCTCTCAAGGCTCACCTGGGTGCTCTGTGGCGTGCTCCACAGGCCAGCAGCTTGCTTCCTCACCTCTGAAGTGCCAGGTGGAGACGTGGATCTGTGAGCCTCACCTGTTCACTCAGGGGCTCTTGTGAGCACTGACCCTTCACCAGTGGTTCCTGCACGCACTGAAGGCTGAGAACCACCATGCTTGGAGTGTAAAGCTTGCCTGCAGAATGTGTGCAGAGCCCCTGAGGGCTGACCTCAGGCTGAGCACTTTGCTGCCTGCGCTCTAGGTGACTGTCCCCTTAGAGCACCCTGGGCCTGTAGGAGCTTGGGCAGACACGTCCACGCCTGGTTGTCTGCGTGCAGGTGCCTCGTGCTTTAAAAGCAGGCCTGGCTGCCCCCTTTCATACACTGCGGAAGCAGAGCAGGTGGCAGGATTCCCAGGCCCCTGCCCCTCTGTCGTGGGGGAATCTGAGTTTCCCAGCTGATGGGGCTGTGGGCTCTGGGAACCCTTCTTTTGTCTAGTTGTTTGTGACAGTTGTACCACAGTTTGTGGCACTGTCATCTTCCTCAGGGGACACAGGAGTAGTTCGGGTGTGGAAATGTGAGGCATTGCTTCTGTCTTCGTTGTTAGGCTTTTTTTCTTTTTTATGGTTAGGCTCTTTTTAGAGTGAAGCAGGAGCCTTCCTGGGCACCTCCCGAGCAGAGATGCTTCGAGTGGCCCGAGTGAAGAGCGCAGCGCCCCTCCCAGCTGGCGCCTGCACTGCCCCTACGCTCTGCTGTTTGTTCTGTGCTGTAACCTTTCCCTCTTCTTCAGGCCTGAGCCTTTACTCCACATCCAGCCCCAGACTCCAGATCCTCGCAGCACTTTTATTCTCAGGCTCGCTGGGGAGGGTGGTGTAGGGACTGTAGAGTAAGGGCAGAGTGAGAGGGGAGCGGGTCCACGTTCCTCAAGCCCCGCTTGTGCCATGTTGGCAGCGTTCTCCTTTGCTACCCAAACTAGCTTTGGTTTTTTGTTGTTGGCTCAGCCCACCCTTGGGGTGGGGCTGGTGCAGCCTGTGGTGCCAGAGATTGAACCATGGTCCACTGAGCTGTCTCGCCAAACTCCCAATCCAGTTTTGTGTTTGACACACATTTTCTGTGATGAAGACGCACTGTATATGTGGTCCCCTGGACTACTGCAGTGCCTTTGTGAGGTGTGTCAGTGTCTGTGTTGTGTAGATGAGGAAAAGTGAGTTCTGGGCCTGGTCATCTGCCTCTTTTTCTTTCCCCATTTTCCTTTTCAAGACAGGATTTACTTACTGTGCAGCTCAGGCTGGCCTTGAGCTCACCTTGTAGCACAGGCTGTTCTTGAACTTGAGTGATCCTCCTGCTTCAGCCTTCCGAGTGCTAGGATCATAGGCCTGTGCTACTATGCCCGGCTAGTAATTGCTTTTAACATGAATTAAAAACAATTTTGTTCTCATTTTTATTCACGATTTGTATTTTTCAGGATGATGGTGCGTAGCAGAATGTTAGCATATAAAGCAGTTAGTGAGCTTGAGTTATGATTGAGTGTAGTGTGGTATCACCAGTGGTGGGTCTGCCACACCAGAACTAGATGCAGAATTTTAGCAAAATTAAATGATAATTTAAAAATTAGATGCAGTATTTTGTTTTTCCTGTGTGAGTTACTTCAACGTGTTTTACTAATCTGAAATAAATATTAAACAGTCATTATTAAGATAAGCAGCTATAAGAAGCTAAACAAGACAAAAATTACAGAGACTGTATTTCAGAAGAATACAGTTAAATTTATATGATCTTTCCATAAATTAGCTAGGTCTTAAAAATGCTGAGACTGTTACTAGAATTTTAAGAATTTGCCTATTTACTTAAAAAAAAAAAAAACCCCGATGAAGGTTGACAGTGTAGTCTTCTGTGCTTAATTCACATTTGACAGTATTATATTGGCTGAATTTATATATGACCAATCTTCACGAGAGCAGGGTATGAATTTGTTTAAAACTAAAATATGTGAATTCGACTTGTAATTACTGCCTGCACAGTACTTACTGCGTGTTTCCTTCTTCCAGAATGGTGTAGTTCTGTGGACATGCCTCCAAAAGTAGCCACAGAGTAGCTGAAGTGTAGTACGCCTGGTTGGTGGTGCACACCTGTGATCCTACCACTCTCCCTTTTAATCCATTTGGCATAATTATTATAATTTTTTAATTATTTTCTTTTCTACACAGAGTTTATGTTGCATCTCAGGATAAGGAATCACATAGGCACATTCCTGCTGTTTACAAAAGTGACTTTCTCAGAGTCTACTTGTGAATATTTTGTTAGCTTTCTTTTATTCAACTTAAATCAGAAGTAATTTTTTTAAAGATGAAAAGATACAGATTTTGACTATAAATAACAGTATGTTCAAATTTAAAGGAAATTAAGTAGTATTCTGCTAAATTAAAGAAATTTGAAGACATTTTGAGAAGGAACATTATATGGCTTTTTTTTTTTTGGCTTTTTTTTTTTTTTTTTGAAACAAGGTATTGCTATGTAGTTTGGGCTGGGCTTGAATTCACTTAGTAGTCCTAGCTGGCTGCAAACGCAAAGCTATCCTCATGCCTCAGCCTCCCGAGTGCTGGGATTTTAAGTGTGTACCACCACACCAAGCTTGTGTAATAGCTTTGTATCGCTTAAGGGAATTTTTGTCGGGTACCATCAGAACTTTATTTGGAATGATTTCTTAATCTTGGACCGAAGAAACTTTTGAGTATTTGACATATTTGATTACTAGTTGTCTTTTAGGTTGAAAACATCAAAAGTTTTAATTTAGCTCTTTAGTATTAGCTCTTTGAGGAGTGGAATGAAGTAGACAATTAAACTTTTTCTCATTCTGAATTTAGGAAGCTCTGGAGGAATCTGTGAAAAAAGTAAGCTGTATTCTGATGGTAAGAAGAAGTCCCTGAACACTGGGATTATCACTGTCCAGAATTACGGGTCTCACGTGCCTCCCAAAGTCTCTCACATAACTTTTGCTCATGAAGTTGGACATAACTTTGGATCTCCAGTGAGTACTGCCCAGCTTCTAGAGTTTTAGATGTTGTTTGCCTTTCATTTTACGCAATTTTCTTTGTTTACAGTGAAAAAAAGTATGTAGAAATGGTTGTTGTTTATATGGTGGAGCATGGTATTATACTCAGTCATATTAAGAGATAAAGAGTGTTTGTAGTTCAAGTAAGAAATGTAAACTTAACAGTGTCAGAGCTTTATGAAAGAAAGGGGTTTTGTCTGGTGTGTTTGGACAAAAGAATATCTGTACCTCTTTTGCTAAGAGAGTGTCCGGTAGTATGTAATGCTCCCAGCATGTCTGAGTGAGACTCCCTTTTTACTGTCTGAAGTACACTGAGGATCTTTAGCAAATTATGCGGTGGCTTTTCCTTTGTTTTTATTAATGCATTATTAAGGTTTACTTGGATTTTTCTTCTTCTGCTGTGGAGGAAACCTGGTGTTTTACAATCTTTTATTGTGATAAATTTCTAACTCACACTGAAGAGGAGAGCATTCCCTTTATCCAGAGCAGGAACTGGCAAATCAGTAAAGGCAGGGCTGGGAGAGACTACCCAAGGAAGCCATTTGTAAGCAACCTCAGCTAATTCTGTGCTGCTGTGAGAACCGGTTCAGAGAGCAAAATCAGGAAGTGAGGGGGGAACAGAGGAGATGCTGCCTTGTGGAGTCTGGGGCAGAGGAGTGTGGTCAGGTTTTCTGGACAGACACTGCCACTTTGTAGTTCTTCTGTGGTTTCTGCTGTGCTTGTCAGGGGTGGCCTCACTGATCAGGTGTGACATTGCTGTCTCTTCATTGTTATAAAGAAAAAAAGAGGGCTGGCCAAATAGCTCAGCAGATTAAAGTACCTGAAAGCTGGTGCAGGGGCTGGGGGTTTGATCCCCAGGCCTGCTGTGCTGGCCCTGACCCTGGGGCTTGCTGGGATGGCAACTCGGTGTGGGGGTGCGCACCTGTAGTCCCAGCTCTTGGAACGCTGTAAACAGGTGGATCACTATGAGTCCGATCTAGTAGTGAGACCCTGAACACCCTGTACACCCTGCCCTAAAAGTACAAAAAAAAAAAAAAAAAAAGTAGGGGAGGTAGGTGCCATTTCTCAGGGCTTCTTTGCTGGGCACGTGTGGCATAGATACCTTAGTTAGGGAAAGTTCGTTGGGAGCAGGACTGTAAGGGGTAGTGTGTGAGGTTAGTTGGGACCCAGACTTGGGGAGGGACTGAAGTGGCTGCAGAGATGGCTGAGGTGTGGAGATGCAAAACCAGTAATCTTGGCTAAGGATGGACTGGATGGTTAGAAAGGAGTGAATTAACTGCAGGGTTCTGTAGAGATAATCAGGGACCACTGGGAAGAGTGAAGGGGCACAGCCATGGGGTGTGGTGAAGAAACGGAAGAGTTCGGGAGCGGGAGGAGGACCAAGTGGGGAGGAACAGGAAGAGGAGAAGGGGGAGACTTGCCTCTGTCTGGGGAAGTCACCCAGTGGTTTCCTGAAAAGAGATCTTTTATCCATGTAAGTATTGACTTGAAACCAAGGGCCTGAGGGTGGAACCAGAAAAGGTCAAGGTGGATTAAGTGAAGGAAGTGTGTGACCGGCAGGATAGGCAGGAGCAGGGCCTTTCGGGATCTTCTGGAGAGAACTGGCAATTTTATGGGAAAGAATCAGGTGAATTAGCGGCAGAACCTAGCTTCACTCGGGATGGTACCTGTTGAGGAGGGTCTTACAGAGGGACCGTCATCAGGTGCTGTGGATGACTGGGACAGGTCCTGGGGGTTTAAGTCTCTTAATTATGACACGTGTTAGCCAGACTGTTTTCATAAGCTGGGTGTCAGGTGCAGATGTCAGCAGCGTGTTGAAGTTCTCTTTGCACCTCTTGCAGAACTGAGCGATAATTGCTGATGGGCTGGCCTCTGGGCTGAGGACTGGCCTAGCGGAGAGGTGTGGCCATAGAAAAGCTCAAATAGGCTGGGAAGGTAGCCCAGCGGTGTAAGGGGAAGGACAGTGAGTGGCTGTTGGGATGAAGCCAGCGGGGAGGTGTCCCAGCCCCTTGGGCTGAGATGAGGGAAAGGATGGGCGCTGATGTGGGGGCTGGGAGTGTGGTGTGAAGGTGGCTTAGGCAGTGGCTGCATTCAGGGTGGTCAGCGTAGTTGACAGCTAGGTGAAGGTGTCTCACCCTGAAAGGGGAGCAGGACAGGTGGGAAAAGGCGTGGACTACATCGGCGCCAGGTTGGGGGTGTTAAGGGCTGGAGGCCTCAACCCTAATACCCACAGCAGAACTGGGGTCCAGGGGCCAGTCCTTGGAAGGTAGCAGTGTGCAGCAGCAGGTCCATAGCCACTAAAAACGGTGGACCTGCTCTCCACTGGAAGTTCCCTGGAGCTTGGTGTCTGAGATGTTCCAGGGGGCCTCGAGAGTCTTTGGGCAGCTTCAGTCGTGGATGGCCAAGCCATGCAGGGCCCAGAAGGAGCTGGGTGGGGGTCACTGGGGGCTGCCAACATGAGTTAGAACTAGTTGAAGCCAATCTGAAGCTGGCAGGCGTGTAGTCTGAGAAATTGGGCACAGGGTGGCCTCTGAGCCCTGAGGGCTCCAGGCAGGGCTTGAAGGGCCTTTCTGGGGGGGTGCCATGTCCGGGTTCCTGGGCCAGATGGAGTATGCAGAGGTGTGGAAGGGAGCACACTTGGAGGCTCTGTGAACCGTCCCGGCCGCTTCTGCACTCCTGTGGGAGCAGAGTCAGCAGGTCGCGGGTCGACAGGGACCTCCTGGGGCAGGGAATGCTGCCATCTCGCAGGATTTGGGGGCAGAGAATGTGGCCCCAGTTCTTGGGATGGGAGATGCTTGTGGACGTGGCTCTGTTCTTTGTGGGTTACCCCGTACTTGTCGTGCGTGGCCTCACCTGTGGGGTGTGACACAAATCCTTCTATGAGAGAGAGACCTTTCAGCAAATACTTTTATACTTTGGGGGCCATATTTGGTTTCTGTTGAATATTCTTCGTTGATTTTGCAATCCTTTGAATATGGAAAGCCACTCTTCACTGAGGGTGTGTAATTCCAGGCTGTGGGCTGTAGCTACCAACCAGTGAGTCAGTGATGATCAGAGTGCTGCCGGATCTACTTAGTGTATTCTTTTATTTTTCTTGCTCAGTTGTTTAAAGCAAAATAACCTATGCTTAATATATTTCAGTATACACTTCTGAAAAAAAGTAGACTTTTTAATAATATAACCACAGTGTGATTGTTATATATACTTAACACAGTGAACATTGCTCTTTGGTATCTCTGACATCCAAAACCTCGGTCTATTACATTGATTCTTCCGTGACCTGAAGATCAGTACTACGCAGCGCTAGGAAGCACTGGAAGGCACTCTGTGACTTGCTCTCTGGGTAGCCAGGCTGTGGGTTTGCCCTACAGCTTGGACACATCGTTTGCAGGCCCTGAGTGTGTGGCTCGGTGGTAGGCCCCTGCTTACCTTGCCTAGGCTCACGGCTAACCCCAGCAGCTAACTGCAGATATTGCTCCATAAAGACGTAGTGTACTTCTGCGTCAGATCTGCAGACGCACATCTCTGATTTCTTCAGGTTTGTAGAGTATCCCATGTTAGTAATTGCTCCACTAAGTCCCACTCTGAATTCAGAGTTTATCATCAAAGCAGAGTGTGAGCTGAATTGTGGCATTCAAAGCCTGTAATCCCAGTGGCAGAGGTTTGCAGGTTTGAGGCTCACCTGGGCTTCATAGTGACTTTTGAGTCTGCAAGACTCTGTCTCAGAAAAGAAACCCAAAAAATCCCTAAATTTTGAGATAAGCAGAGAACTGCTGCTGCTTGCCAGGGTGCACATTCAGATACACAGGCGGCCCTGGCTCCAGGCCTGGCCGGGGCATTGTGCTCCCTGCCTCCCCTTCGATCCGCCAGGTCAAAGCCTCTCGCGTAAATCACCCGGCAGCCCCACAGTACAGTTTCAGGTTGGTTTTGCAGGCCTGTCTCTGTAGTTCTTAGTGCCCTTGGGAGGCCTCTGCTGACTGCAGGAGCAGGCACTGTGCCCCTGCGCGGGCAGCTTCCCTGTCCAGATTGCTGTCTTGGTCCGTGTGCCGTGCGGGTGGTGTCCTCCCCCTTCCTTCGCCTGTCCTGCTCCTTTTGCTTCTCATGCCGCACTGCTGAGGACGTACACGCTAACGTTTCTGCTGTTGGACTTTCTATTACATGGACATGGGAAGCTGTAGCAGAGTTTTATTGAGTGTAGTAAGATCAGCAAGAACCACACACTCTGACACCTGAGTCCGTCTCCCTGCGTGTACCTGTACTGCTACTTTTTCCCTGAAGATTCACATTGCTTACATTTATTATCCTTTCTCAAATATTCATTGTATACCTATTGTAAACTGCTTTGTAAGCTTGTTATGGGAAGTTCTAGTAAAAAATGAAACAACTTTCTTGTCTCAGTATGAAAATTGTAATGCCTACCCACCTTTACCAGACTCCTCTTTGGATAAAGATGGTTCTAACTATGCCACTTCTTTTTAAAGCCTGTGTCTCCCACCTGCAGGCAGTGCTGATGTGATCTGAGCTTGCTGTCTGTCCCCGAGTCCAGGCCAGTCTGTTTTCTGTGTGGTCCCCTCCCCTCCAGTCAGGCCCTGCAGCAGGCTCTTCACCAGGACAGCTACTTGTCTCTGCCTTGAAATCGTGATCCAGGTTGTTGACTGTGTGATTCTGCCACTCAAAAGGTGTCCAACTCTGAGGAGTAAATGGAGGATTTACAGAGTGTAGTGTGTATATTTGGGATAAAAGAGTTATGTATATTTGAAAAATGAACATTTGAAAAAAGATAAGTTGTACTTCTATTTTTAATATAAAAAAGTCTTGAACAGCCTAAATGGACCCACAGTTGAAAAATACTGTAGAATGCAGTTATTTTAAAAGCCTTCCAGTGCTTTCCACTTGAAACTGAAGCACAGGGTGGATACCTGTGTGCATGGCAGAGGCTGGATGTCCCGCCAGCGTGCAGCACAGCCACAGACAGGTATTGAGGAAATAGATCAGTGTTAGTAATGTTGGCAATGGTTGCTAGTAGTAATCCTTGCAGGCCGTAGATTATAACTGAATTTTCTTGATCCAGTTTTTGAGTTTCTAAATTTTTAGAAGCATATTTTTTTAAAAGTGGATTTTCTTTCTTTCTTTCTTTTTATGTACTTAGTACAGGGTCTCCAGGGCCTCACTACACTGATCTGACTCATAGTGATCCTCCTGTTTTCAGCCTCCTGTGAGCTGGGATTACAGGCTTCAGCCGCCACGCCCAGGCTCAGCTGCAGTTCCAGTGCACCCTGGGGGCAGGGCCGGCAGGGCAGTATAAGTGTATTTTTTAATAGACAATAGCTTTTCTGTTTTTTTAATTGTTTTTTAATCAAAGTAAGGTTGTAGGGGTTTTTGTTGAAACTTTACTCTTGATTTGAGCCTTCCTAACATGATTTAGTGGTCCAGTCAAAGTGACGTTTGGTGGTGTTTTTTGGTTTTTGTACTGGGGCTTGAACTCAGGACCTTGCATTTGCCAGGCAGGTGCTCCTGTCGCAGCACTATGTCCCCAGCCCTGTTTTGTTTGTTTTCATGCTTGCTTTCTTCCCTTATCTGAGGATGGTCACAGAGGTGGCCCTCAGCTCCTGGTGCTTCATTTGCGTGTCTTTAAGTGGGCCTTGCCAAGCAGGAAGGTTGGAATTGCTGCTCTTTGTGGACTGTGAAAGGCGGGAGGGCTGGAGCAGTGATTGTCTCAGCCAAGTATTTGTATATTTTCCGTGTGTTGGACACAAATTGTTTATTGACTTGAAAGGTGGCAAACTATTCTGTGAGTGACATGACTGGGCTTTTCACCCCTAGAATTTCAGTGGTGAGAGTAGTGCTGTGCTAGTGCTGTATTTTACCAGAAGATAAACCACGTTACACAGAATGAGAACGTGGCAGTACATAACACTGGAGGATGGTAGAGTTGCTAAACGCTGACTCTAGGCTCAGAAGAAGGGTAAGAAGTATCAGGCAGAGCAAGGAGGATAGTGCAGGCCACAGTCTTAGTGCAGGTCATTGCCTTAGACGGGGGAGGAGAAAAAGAAAGCAGCTCAGCTGGCCGCCCTGGGCGTTGCACTCGGCTGAGAGTGCGGTGGGCTGTGAGTGTATAAAGCAAGATTTCGCTTACGTAACTAGCACTCCAGAACACAGTGTTTTTGCAAAGCCTGCTTGTTTAAATGCATTATTTCCAGGAGAGCAGGGTCTGCTGGGGTCTGCTAGTGGTCTGTTGCGTGACTTGTGTCGCATGAATGCTTTTACTTGGGTAAAATGCAGGGAGCTGTGCTTTGGTACTCTGAGACTTAGCAGTGAGATCCACCAAGTTAAAAACACTCAGCACATAACATTCCCTGCTACATAGAACTTTGTGTCCTGTATTCTGAAAAGCAGCAATTTTGTCTTTTGTGTGGAGTTTTGTTTTCTTTCTTTGAGACAGGGCCTCACTATATAGTGCAAGCTGGCCTTGAACTCTCTTATGTAGCCCAGGCTGGCCTCGAACTCACAGTAATCCTCCTGCCTCAGTCTCCTGACTGCTAGGATTACAGGTGTATACCACCACACTCAGCTTGGATTTTTCTTTCTTTCTGTAAAAATGTATATGGTGCAAAGTCTTACTACATAGCTCGGACTCGTGATCATCCTCCTGGCTTCAGCCTCCCCAGTGCTGGAATTACAGGCATGCGCTGCCACGCCCTGGACTCTGTGGCCAGCTCAGCCCTCCCTGGAGGCAGGGCTCAAGTGGTATATGGTGCTGGGGATTGAACTGTGGCCCCTGTGTTTGCCTAAGCAGGCACTTTAGTCCACTGAGCTATCTTGCTGGCCCCCTTGGATTTTTCTTAACTTCATTTAAAATAGATCATTGTGGGGCTGGGGAGACAGCTTGGCAGTAAGTGCAAGGACCCAGGTTTGATCTCTGATGCAGCATGCCATGCCCTCTGAGTCTGGGTGTGGTGGCACATGCCTGTAATCCTAGTGCTGGGGAGGCTGAGACAGGAGGGTCACGACAAGTCGGAGCTGTGTATTGAGATCCTGCACCAAATTAATAAATGAAAGAATAAATAAATAAATGATTTAAAAATAGATCTTTTTTTATCTGCAGTCTGCATATTTACTGTTCTTGGGCTGTGGCTCCTACGCATGGCCCTGGGCTAGGCTCCTCTGTGTCATTTCCCTTTCCTTCTTCTCCGGATGAGTCAAAGCATGTAATTGCGCATAGGAGGTGGAGACTATGTGGTGGTGGTACAATATTTTATATTATTATTACTAGTTTTAAAAGTAAATATTTAATAGACTTATGACAGCCTTATTTTTTTTTTTTTTCTTTGTGGTACCAGGGATCGAAGACAGCCTTATATTTAATAGACTTTTATGACAGTTTGTCCTCAATTCTAATCTGTATTTACAAAATTATAAATTATGGCTAGGCTTCCATGATTTTGCTCCTTTTCTAAGACAGTGGCCTCTAACACAGAAAATTGTTTTCCTGCTCATAATCTAAAACAATTGTAATATCCTTTCTAATGGAGCCTGTGGCTTCCTTTGTTCTTTTGATGAGAAAATTACATTTAATGAGATGACGTGGAAACCTTCGATTTCCTGCTCACATAACTCTGTATCTGTTTGACAGCATGATTCTGGAACAGAGTGCACACCAGGAGAGTCTAAGAACTTAGGACAAAAAGAGAACGGCAATTACATCATGTACGCAAGAGCAACTTCTGGGGACAAACTTAACAACAATAAATTCTCACTGTGTAGTATTAGAAATATAAGTCAAGTTCTAGAGAAGAAGAGAAACAACTGTTTTGTTGGTATGTATATTTTCTCAGCATTTCATTTTGAACATCTTCAAACATTGAGAAAGCTTAATAGGGCCGGTGAGATAGCTCGGCGGACTAAAGCACCTGCTTAGGCAAACTTAGGCAAGCACAGGGACCGTGGCTAGATCCCGCGTACCACATGCCACGCTAGCCCCACCCCTGGGTCGCGCTGAGCCAGCCACTGAGTCCAGGCCTAGTGGCACACACCTGTAATCCCAGTGCTGGGATGCTGTAATCAGGATCACTATGAGTCCGAGCTGTGTAGTGAGACCCTGTACCAAACACATTAAAAAAAAAGAGAGAGAAAGAAACAAAGCAAGGGGGCTGGTGAGATGGCTCAGTGGTCTAAAGCACCTACTTAGAACAAGCTAAGCAAACCACAAGGACCGCGGTTCAATCCCCCAGCACCACATGCCAGCCAGCCCCACCCCCTGGTGGGCTGAGCTGGCCACACACACACACACACACACACACAAATAAAAAAAAAAAAAAAAAAAAAGCTAGCTTAATGTATTACAGGGTGAGCACCCAGATGCCACTGAACTACATCACAGCACACTTTAGTTCTTATTTTACAATGTCTCTTTAGAAATGTTACCTAAATGGATCGTACAGCAAATAAACTCTTGCGTTGCCTTTCTTCACTTGCATGATTTCCTAGAGATTCGTCTCAATTGTTCCCTGCTCTTTCGTGTTGCTCAGAAGTACTCCAGGGTGTGTGGGTAACACTTTGACCATCTACCCTGGAAGGACCTTGCGGCTGTCTCCTGGGCTTGGCTGCTGTGAATAAAGCAGCTGTAAGGGCCACATACAAGTGTGAATGTAAGCTTTCAGTTCTTTGAGATGAATGACCCCCGAGTCACTTAGCAGGCCATCTGGGTAGGGGCTTGGCAGCAGCCCAGGTGGTTTCCTGTGTATGTTCTCGTGAGCACTGCGAGGATGTTCTCTTTCTCTTGCCTTGGTCTCCGAGTGCTGGCGTTGCAGGCGTGTGCCACTGGGCTCAGCTGACTTCACATGATTTTCACATGGATTTCTCTGATGACTAAGGATGTTGAGCAGCCTTTTGTGAGCTTGCTTCCTCTCTCTGACCTCTGGGGTGAAAAGTCATTATATACTTTTGGCAATTTCTTTTTTTAATTCTTTTATTTTTTTTATTTTTTAATTTTTTTTGGCGGAACCAGGGATTGAACTCAGGCCCTTGCACTTGCCAGGGAAGTGCTTATTTTACTGAGCTGTTTCCCCGGCTCCTCTTTTGGCAATTTCTAATGGATTTTTTTTTCTTTTTTGCATAATGAGTTTGGAAATTTCTTTTTTATTCATTCATGCATTTGATAGAGTCTCACTATGCAATTCAGACTTGTATTGATCCTCCTGTCTCAGTCTCCCCAGTCCTGGGCTTACAGGTGTGTGCTGCTGTGCCCAGTCTTAGTGGCTGGATCAGTATGACCGGACTTGGGGCCGGCACAGTGGTACCAGGGATCGAACCAGGGTCCTTGTGGTTGCCAGGTCAGCACTTAGACCACTGAGCTATCTGCCCAGCCCAGAAATTTCTTCATGTAGTCCAGATACTAATGACTTTTTAGATGTTAGTTGGCAGATATTCTCTCCCAGGCCATAGTTTGTCTTTTCAGTCTTTATAGAATCTGGCATTTTGTTTTATTATTATTATTAATTAATTTATTTATTTGCAGAACTGGGGGTTGAACTCAGGCCCTTGTGCTTGCCAGGCAAGCACTTATTCTCTTGAGCCATCTCCCAGCCCCAGTGGCGTTTTGTTTTAAAGACTTCTTTTTCTTTTAAAAAAAGAAATGATTAAAATTACATTGATAAGGGCTGGGGAAATAGCTCAGTAGAATAAACGCTTGCCTGGCAAGCGCAAGGCCCTGAGTTCAATCCCCAGTACTGCAAAAATAAATAAATAAATAAAATTGATAATTATATTTTATAATTGATTGGGTCTGTCTATATAGTCCCTTCTGGCGTCAAACTCACGGCACTCCTGCCTCAGCCTACGGAGTTCGGGGGTCACATGCATGTGCCACCACATACAGCTCTGTTGTCTACAGTAGAGAAGCACTCTGAAGATTGCAGATTATTTGTAAATTCAGTTTCCATAGTCAACTTGCTGATTGAAATAGACTTTTATGAAATGATGCCTTTTTTTTTTTTTTTTTTTTTTTAAATGTATTCAGGACAGGGTCTCCAGGATCTCACTACATAGATTGGACTCATAGTGATTCTCCTGTTTTCAGTCTTCCAAGTGCTGGGATTACTGGTGCGTGCTACCACTCCCAGTCTCAGTTGCTGTCTCAGCACACCCCAGGAGCTGGGCTGGCATGGCAGGCCAGGGATTGAACCCTGGCCGCTACGCTCTGCCTAGGCAGGTGCTTTAATCCACTGAGCTGTAGGCTGGCTCTTAAAGTTGACTTTTAAAAGTGATTACATTGCTGAGCATGGTAGAACATCCTGGGACCTCAGCACTACAACCTGTCATCAAACAGAAAACTCAGACTGCTTTGTAGGCATTATAAGAGATAAATATATTAGCTCCTTAAATTTATTGAAGTAGGTATCAATTGTAATTTTTGCATCTAAATTGTACCTTTTCCATGTATTGAAGCTGTTAGCAAATAGCTGAATGATTCTTTAGGAGATGAAAATGTGCCAGAGACTTGTTGCATTTTCTGTCTTTTTTTCCTTTACTCATTCACCATTTTCTTTTCTCCCTTTGTCGCAAAGCTCTAAAGAGTTGGTGAATTTTAAACAGATTCCAAGTAGCACACTGACCTCCCTTGTGGGTTTTCTGCAGAGTCTGGCCAGCCCATCTGTGGCAATGGAATGGTGGAGCAGGGTGAGGAGTGTGACTGCGGCTACAGTGACCAGTGCAAGGACGAGTGCTGCTTCGATGCGAACCAGCCTGCGGGGAAGAAGTGCAAGCTGAAGCCGGGCAAGCACTGCAGGTAGCTCTGGGCCCTCGGCGCTGTGGGCCATCCGGGGCTGGCCTGGAGAGATGTGTGTGCTTTGGACGCTTGTCTTTGTTGTGCTGTTTCACTTATTTTTCTGAAATGACCTTCAGTACCCTGTTGTTGGTAGGTGGAACTGCCCGTGATCTGTGTGGTGGGTGCTAAAGGGCACCGAAGGGCTGCTCGTTTCTTCTGCATTTTTAGGCTTAGCTTTTTCTTAGATTATGGAGGACATGTGCTTTGTGATTGACTTTAGTTACCTCACCTGTCACACTACTTGGGTAGCAGTGGATTAGAGGCAAAAATACTGTAGTGTGACCATGTTTGTAAATGGCTGGACCGTGTATTCTAGTTTGACTTTAGCATAAAAATGTGAGGAAAAACTGATAGATTGACCAATGCATAATGTACTTGTGGGGAAACACTGACAGGTTGCTTCACAGCGTCTCCGTCTGCCGTGATAGCCTGCCCCAGGGCAGCCGCAGGCGGGATGCTGATACGGTGCGCCTTCCTGTGCGGCAGACGCCTGCCTTCCCCAGGCTTGCTGGAGTGGTCAGAGAGGAGCTGCTTTTTACAGCAGTTAGCGTTGTACACCAGTAACATGCTTATAGTATAAAAGATGAGATTTGTGATTTAAGTCAGGACCATCCCAGTATTTAGAAACTACCTGGTGATTTACTTTGTTTAATCCCTGAATGTTTCTTCCAGTCCGAGTCAAGGTCCCTGCTGTACCGCACAGTGCACATTCAAGCCCAAGGCTGAGAAGTGCCGGGACGACTCGGACTGCGCGAGGGAAGGGGTCTGTAATGGCGTCTCGGCGCTGTGTCCCGCGTCCGACCCGAAGCCGAACTTCACAGACTGCAACAGGCACACGCAAGTGTGCATTAATGGGGTGAGCACTTGGTTTCATGAGTTTAATTTTGATTTTATAGAACCTGCGTTTTGGGGTTAAGTGTTGACGCTCAAGGCTACGTAAAGCAGGTAGTCCTGATTTCTCCTTCGGTAATATCCCCGTCTGTTTCCCACAGAGTAGGGATGCGCTAAGTGGCACGAGGGCCTGGTGGCATTCAGTCAGCTGCTGACTTGCCTTTCATCTTGCCAGCAGCGAGTGTTTGGTGTTCCCTGGAGAGACGTAACAGTGCAGTTAGGCTGCGACTTTGCCAATACAGCTTTTAAGTTCTATAAATTAATGTTTCAGTTGTCTGAATAAAAGAACTCTCCTGATCATTTTCTCTGAATATGAAGCCTCTAAACCTTTCGTGACTAACTCACTTTTGTACACATGGAGAAAATTTCAGCTTTTCTCTGCCTGTAGAGCAGCTGTAATAATCAGCATACGTTGGTTCTGACCTGATCTCTTTCTCAGCTTTTGTTCAGGTTTAGTTTTCTTGCTGCCATTGCCTTTTTAAGAATGTGTTTATGTGATCAAGTTCTAATGCATCTCTGTGGTGGTTTTTTTTTTTAATGGAACCAGGGATTGAACTCAGGCCCTTGCGCTTGCCAGGAAGTGCTCATTGTACTGAGCCATCTCCCGGCCCTCTGTGGGGTGTTCTGTGGTGCGCGGCCAAGCAGGCGCGCTGCATGTTGAGCTGGATCCCCACTTGCTTCTGCTGAGCCTGGAGGCCTGCGCCCACCCGCGTGTCCTGGGTCTGCTGCCCGCGGTGAAATACCATGTCTTCTGTTCCAGCAATGTGCAGGCTCCATCTGTGAGAAGTACGACCTGGAGGAGTGCACCTGTGCCAGTTCCGACGGCACAGACGATAAGGAGCTGTGCCACGTCTGCTGCATGAAGAAAAGTACGGCCTTGGAAATCCAGCCGTGTGAAGCCCTTCGTAAACCCTCGTTTTCTGCCCAGTTTTAAGCATTGTACTTGGTCATACAATTGGGCAGATAGTTTCTAGCTAAGTCTGTCTTTCTGAGAAAAGCTGAAAGATAAACTGATAGGTCTTCGACAGTGTCACCACAGAGAAAACAGGCAAAAAGAAAAAGGGAAAGGGACTTCCTTACCTAGGAGGACACAGAGGACTCTGGGGAAGGTCAGGAATTCTCTGGGTTGGAACACAGGGCAGTGGAGGCTTTCATGGGCTTTGGGGGGGGGGGCGCTTGAGGGCATGTTTAGATAGACCTGAGGGGCTGACTGGGGTCTCCCTGAGGTGGCGGGGAGGTGGAAGGACTTTGATCCTGGGCTGAGCTGGAGAAGGGGGAGTGGTCTCTGGGAAGATGAGCTGCTGTTTTAAGGGCTACAGCCATATTAGATAATAACCATAATAATTCAGCAGTTCATACCAGGGCCAGAACCTGTCAATGACACCACATTCTGTTGCTAGCCTAGCGGTCCCTATAAGTGTGTTCAGTGATGCCCTAGACAAGCTTTCCGTCATCTAAGCTGAGTTGGAAGGCTTAGCACCTGCACAGGCACTCGGGCAAGACATGCTGCTGCTTGCTTGGTGTAACGTCGCAGGCGTATTACTGGTGGCTAGAGAAGGCTGCTGGCCAGTGTGTCATGGTGACGGTCTCGGCAGTCTCTTCTTTCCCTTTGTCTCCCCCCACGGGCCCCTGTGAGGACACCCGATGGGCAGCTCACATGCTGCTTCTCTTCCAGTGGAGCCCTCTACCTGTGCCAGCACAGGCTCTGTGCAGTGGAGCAAGCACTTCGGCGGGCGCACCATCACCCTGCAGCCCGGCTCTCCTTGCAATGATTTCAGAGGCTACTGCGACGTCTTCATGCGGTGCCGGTTAGTGGATGCGGACGGTCCTCTGGCAAGACTTAAGAAAGCCATTTTTAGTACACAGCTGTATGAAAATATTGCCGAATGGATTGTGGTAAGTGTAGCTTTTATTTTTAATTTTTAAAAAGTTTTAAAAATTATGTTTGCTGTACTTAATTATATTCATCTGGGGGGTTGGTACAAATACTTACTGCATCTTAAGGATTGTAGTAAGAATAGTTTAACTTATAAAGAAACCAAAATGGTTGGACCTTAATTTTCCTGAGCTAGAGGTCAGTCCCTGATGATGTGGGCAAAGATGTTTCCTGTTTTGCTGTGTTTATGTACTTAATATGCGCTGCAGATGAACTCAGGACCTTGCGTTTATCAGGCAGCTGCTGTGCTGCTGAGCTCCCTTCTCAGCTGTATCTCAAGATTTTAAGTGTCCCTGCTTACGATTCTCTTCTGAAGCAGTAGCTTTCCACCCGTGTGTCACTCTGTTGCTCAGTTAGGAGATGCTGGGGTCACGGTGCTTCTCGGCTCCTCCGCTGGGTTCTGTCCTGCAGAGGTGACTCCTTGGCCCTGTGACGAGGGCCTTGCCAGGGGTCTTTTTCTCAAATTGCTGTGCAAAGTCCTGCTTGCTTTCCATACCCCTGCTCTCTGCACAGCAGGGCGAGCTGTGGGCCTAGTGGGCGGCGCCTGGATGAGAGAGAAATGGGTGGTTTTCTGAAGCTCTTGCCTGGGCTGTCATGTAGTTTCCGGGTTTTTGTCCTACATGTGATGGAGGTGCTGACAAGCCTGGGACAGGTACAGCGCTGTTCGCAGCCCTGCTCCTGACCCTTGGGTGTGCCCCCAGCATTAGTCCGTGGCACTGGAGCTGAGCCATGCATGTTGGAGATGGCAAGTGTTTGAGTTTTTGCATGAAATTCATATATGTTCCCTATAAAAATTCGAGGAACAAGAATTTGAAGAGAAAAAATTTCATTATGTTCTATTGTAATGGTCTGAAAACGGAATACTAGGCATTGGAGGCTTTTCTGTGTGTGTGTGTGTGTGTGTGTGTGTGTGTGTGTGTGTGTTACCAGGGATCGAACTCAGTAAAGGCTTCATTTTTAAGCACATATTCCCTCTCTCTCCTTCTCCCCCAGATGCTCCTCTCCCTCCCCCCTTCTCTTTTCTTTTGGCTTTTCTGGTCTGTTTTTTAGTACAGGGTCTCGCTACAGAGATTGGACTCATAGTGATCCTCCCTGTTCTCAGCCTCCCAAGTGCTGAGATTATAGGCATGTACCACCACGCCCAGTCTCAGTTGCTGTCTCAGTGCACCCTGGGAGCGGGGCTGGCACCACACGCTGAGGATCCAATCCCTGGCTCCTGCATCTGCCTAAGCAGGCACTTTAATCCGCTGAGCTATCTGGCTGGCCCTTCTGGTCTTCTTTTTGAGATAGGGTTTCACTATGCCATTCAGGCTGGCTTTGAATTCACTTTGTAGCCTAGACTGGCTTTCTTGCAGCGATTCTCCTGCCTTAGCCTGCCTCAGCATCTCGAGTGCTGGGATTATAGGTTTGCATCCTCACGCCCAGTTTAAACACTATTTCTCCAAATTTTAAAAACATTGAATTTTCTTAAAAGATTACTGAGAATAACTACCTTACCTCACTTAGTGTCTCTGCACTGAGACATTACACTAAGGCTTCTCTAGGTAGTGATGTGTGGGAATGTGCTTTCCCGAGCTGAAGGTCATTTGCTTTGGAGATTGACGTGGAGATCACATGCCCTCCAATTCCTAGTGTTGTGTCTGTCTGTCTGTCTGTCTGTCTGTCTGTGTGCCTTAGAGTGAGGCCTTGGAAATACCACATGGGGGGGCCTTGCTACTTTGCCAGTAACTTTGGAGTCTCCCCAGCAGTAGGTGGGGTTTGTAGCATGCACGTTCTGGTAATATGCAACTTTATGTAGTGATGATGGTACATAGGGGAGGACTGTTGGAATTGGAGCTAGGAGGTGCGGTTTCAGATAATTGGATATTTGACTTAGGTCTCCCTGGGAAGTGGTTTGTCCCTCAGACAGGCATTCCTGCAGCTGTTGCAGTGAGAGTTGAGGGGCCGCTCGGAGCCCCCGTGGCGTAGGGGAGCCCCGTGTGGCAGCTGCACAGGGTTCAGGTGGTCTTCCCAGCGCAGGGACTGGCGTTTGATCCCAGCACCACATGCCATGCTGGCCCCGCCCCCAGGTGGTCTCTCCGAGCTGGCCACCAAGACCAGGCGTGGTGGTGCACGCCTGCCTGTAATCCCAGCTCTGGGGAGGCTGAAAACAGGAGGATCGCTATGAGTCCGAGCTGCTTAGTAGGACCCTGCACCAAGTACGTTTAGAAAAGAGACTGTGTTGTGTTAGGTATTTTAGTTACTACAGCATAGAATCTTGGCTTGCAGTTGAGATTAGTCTTAAACTCTTGGGCTCCAGGGATCCTACAGCTGTTCTTGGCTTGAATATAATAATTTTTCTCTTTTATTCATTATCTCTAAATTTATTGAGTTGCTTAGAAATAAATACATTTACTCATTTATTTTACTTATTTTTGAGATGGGTTCTTATTATATATCCCAGGCTGACCTGGACTCACTTTTGTAGCCCAGGCTGCTCTCACATTTGCAGCAATCCTCGGGCCTCAGCCTCCCCAGTGCTGGGATTACAAGCGTGCGCTGCCACCACTCAACTCATTAGAATTTTAAAAGCGAGACTGGGCGTGGTGGTTAGTGGCACATGCCTGTAATCCCAGCACTGGGGAGGCTGGGGCAGGAGGAGAGGCTGGGGCAGGAGGAGAGGCTGGGGCAGGAGGAGAG